CAAAGCGCTTTGAGCCTGTCACAACTTTGTTGAGATGACTAATACCAGTCTGCTAAATATGTGTCCGAGTATCTGGGGTCGTCATCCCAAAGGATGACTACTCCTAATAGCAATTTATGTCTCTAGGTGCGCTGAAGGTAAAAACCAAAACCTATGTAAAAACTTTTATCTCATGCATCTATTAAATTTGGAATATCATACATGTGGCTAACTCAGCGCTATTATTGCTATTCAGCTGTCGGAGTGAATGTTCATCTCTCTGAAAAGGTTGCACTTCGGAGCTGGCTGTCTACTGTTACCTTAATAGATGCCTCTYCTGCCAGAAAAACACTACAGTGGTGCAGGTAGCCTAAAGCTAAGCTTGAATAGAGCAACTTACAGAAAAATCTTCCTACAAATTCGATTCCCTCCTAGTTTCGCACCATCCACGAAACTACTTACTGTGCCTCTTCCTCATTAACTGAATAAATATTGCCGAGACATTTTTCTGTTAGGAAATTAATGAACATGGTTTTGTGTTGTATTGTATATTTGTATGTTGTACTTTGAAGAACGTGTTGAGGCTTTGTGTTTTARTATTAAGGAATTTCTACAAATTCATTTTGATGGTTTCGTTTTTATATTCAACCTTTCGTACTTCCACATAAATGATTCATCACAATTAAATGTTTTTCAAAGTTCTGTAAAAATGAGTTTCTAGGCCTTCGTCGTCTGGTTTTGTCGAAGTTTCTAAACTAAGTGACTAAAATGATAATAAACAAACTTACACTATAAAATATGTATAATGAATCGCAGATATTACATTGTCAGTTGTAATATTTTTCCGCGCATTTATTCACACATACATRCATACATACACACATACATACAAATCCATGCACTTTACTATGCGGCCTGCAATCGCTTATCGCTGCGGTCAAAGAAAATGATGCGCTCACTTGCTGACATGAAAAGCGAAAGTCTTTTTCACACTCATGATTGCTGTTGTTGTGCTTGTTTTTGTTTTTGTTTTTCTTTTTTTGTGTGTGTTTCTAGTCAATCATTGTAGTTGTGTTCGCAGTTTCGCTGTCCAAGTGGTCATTTGAAAAATCAAAGTAGTTAAGCTGAAAAAATTGTGACTTTGAAGTATTTTATGCTTTATTTTTTGCTGCTCCGTTCGCTTGTCGATAATAACGGCAAAAGATTTGTTGAAATTATGGCTTAACTTCAATGATTGCGGTTAGCAACGGCATAATGAAGGAGTGTGTGGGATGTAGTAGATATACAGACAAACATACATACAAGTAGGTGTGTAGGCAGATTGGTATTTAAGTGGAAAAGCTGATTTCGTTTTCTTGCTGCTYTTTTTCAATTTTTGCGTTTCTGGCAAGGACTAACCGATAAATTTTGTAAATCGACTGAAAGAGAAAATATCAGATATTCACGATGAAGTTAATAAAATGTTTAAAATTCCCAAAACGTATTGCACACGTCCATCAAAAACTGTTTATGTGTGGATGCATGAATGCTTTGGGGAAATGCCCCAGCAAACTTCACTTCTAAACTTTGCATTTTACCTTTTTTTGTTTATTTAGTTTTTTATGCGCTTTTGCAGTAGAAAGCCTCAACCAAAAGCATTGCGTCTAAGCGCCATCAGCACGCAGTCTCCGCAATTGCGATGAGCTCCCTAAGCAACGTTTTGCTTTGGCAGCTGCCACTTGGCCAAACGCTTTGGGTACACGCATGCGCCACTGAGAAACATGCAACGAATTTCAATTTTGTTAACTTGGTCACTTCAGCAGCGGCGAATGCTTTATGTTTGGATTCATTTTGTGTTTTTGTTTTTTGCTTTAATTTTTTTGTTTGACATTTTCACTTTTAATTTGATCATGTTTTACTTTTTTCATAGAGGTTTTTTGTTTTTACAACCATTGTAATTTTTTTCTTTAACATCTTTTTCCATAATTTTTTTTTGTATATTTTTATCTTCCTCATGTATATGT